TTTGATGATGTGTAGTCAAGGGCTTTGAATCCCTGGTTTATTTAATAATGTCCTCATTTGGATTTTTTTATTTTGACTGGAAATTAAAATCTCATCATATCCATTTTTAAAACATAAAAAAATTACAATTACATTGGCATACCAGAGTGTATAGGATTACATGTTACTAAATTTCATCAGGATGCAAAGTACTTATTAGTATTCTAACAGAAAATAAGTGAGGATATTGTTAAATGGCATATTTTCCAAGTGTGTCATTTTGTGTATTTGCTTGCCTTTTAAATATCTCCTTTCCATAACCTAGATGTTATTCAATTATCTGCGTCTCCCCAGGCAAGTTTATTTCATTCAAACAGGTATCAAACATTAGGGGCCTATTACCTAATATTACCAATATTAATACTTAGAGATCAGTATTTAGGGTTGATTGAAGTTCTGGGTTGTTATTAAGAAGAGAACATGCATGCTAGGTGTGATGGCACATGTCTGCAATCCCTGCTACTGGGAAGGTTGAGGCTGGTGGATTTCTTGAGCTCAAGAGTTCTGAGCTACAGTGTGCTAAGCTCACTGAATGTCCACACGAAGTCTGGCACCAGTATAACAAACTCCAAGAGCAGGGAACCACTAGGTTGCTAAGGAGGGTCAAACTGGCCCAGGTTGAAAATAGAACAGGTCAGAAAGGCTGTGAGTGACCACGCATTTCCAGCCATGGTAAGATAGGGAGCTATGAGCATCATTAGCACTTCAAAACTATGTAAAGTGTTGGAAAATAGGTAAACTTACAGTAGTTTTGATGTGATGCTTAGGATCATAGAATTGTAGAATCTTAGAGCTGGAAAAGAACTTACAATACAGAATGCTAGAGCTGGAAGAATTCTTAGAGCATAAATGTTAGCACATAGGGCATGAGAGCTAGAACACAGAATATTAGAACACAAACAGAGCTGGAAGGAAACTTAGAATATATATGGTCAGGACTGAAATATACTTTAGAAATACTAGAATCTAGACTGTTGGAAGCATCTTCAGAGGCCATCTACAGAGGACCAACTCTTCCTTGAAGCATGAATGTACTTTACAACATCCTTGAGAAGTGATAATCCAGCTTTCACTTGAAAACCTTCAATGAAGGGGAAGCTAATTCTCATGAGGCAGTCAATTAAAGTGTTGGACATCGCTAATTACCAAATATATTGAAAAATTGAGGGTAAGAAAATCAAATGATTTAGATGAGAAAATTTCTATTATAAACAATTTCCTCTACAAAATATCCTTGAAGCCATTCCTTAAAGCAGATGGTCTTAAGGGAAAATCCTTCCTACTTATCCATTGTTCAGATGCATTGTTATCATTTGAAGAAATCATTGAATAAACAGTTGTCAGAAGATGTGGGTTCTGATCCTGGTGTTGCCATTGCTTAGCCCTGTCATGTTAAGCGAGTCACTTTACCCCTCTAGGTCCTCTAGTGGGGTGCAGGGGATAGTGTGCTGGGCCTGGAGTGAAGAAGATTCATCTTCCTGAGTTGGAATCTGGCCTCTGACACTTAATAGCTGTGTGACCTTGGGCAAGTCTTTTAACCCTGTTTGTCTCAGTTTCCTCATCTGTAAAATGAGCTGGAGAAGGAAATGGCAAACTGCTGCAGAATCTTTGCCAAGAAAATTCCAAATGGGGTCACAAAGAGCTGGATGAAGCTGAAAAAAATGACTGAACAACAAAATTACTCCCCCAAGACTCAATTTCATCATCTATCAAATGGAGGTAATATTTGCCCAGTTTACTATTCCCCACAAAGATCGTGATAAGACTCAAATTAAATAATGGACATGAAAGTACTTTGAAAACCATCAAATTCCTTATAAACACAAGATTGTTAGTACTGTAATCTGACCCCTGAGAGTCTGAAGATGAGACTATGGCTTTCCATTGACCCTAATTAAGGACAGCCATCCCAGAGACAGACACTGAGACAGAGGGGAAAGACAGTGAATACTAAAGTACTGGGCTCGGAGTCAGGAAGACTCAAGTTTAAATCCTGTCGTAGACACTTACTGGTTATGTAACTCTGGCTAAATTGTTTAACTTTTCTGGGGCTCAGTTTCCTTTCTGTAAAATAAGGGCATTGCTCTTGATGGCCTTGAAGTCCTTTTTAGCATTAAATGTATGATCCTATGACCTTTGGACTTGGAGTCAGCAGAGCTAGGATCTAGTTCTAGCCCGGCCACTAACTCTACTTATTACCTTGGGTCACTTCTCTTTTCTTAGGGTCAGCATTCTTATCTATAAAATAAAGGGGTTTGTTAGACTAAATGGTAAAAGCTCTGATATTTTATGATTCTATGTTCTAAGAACTCTTTGAGTTCGCTATACTCTATGACTGGACTACTTGATGGCAGGGACTGTCTTTTGCCTTTTTTTTTTTCAAGATCCCCAACACTTAGCACAGTGCACGGCACATAGTAGGCCCTTAATACTATGTTCCTTTCTACCTCTAGCAGTATTCTATTCCTAAGCTTCAACATCACTCTTCTCAGGGAACATGAAAACCAGATTTCCACTACTACCAGTAACTCCTTTGTCTTCCATTTCAGAGGAGTTAAATGCTTTCTCGCTTCATTTCATAACCACAGGAAAGCAAAATGGTTGAAGTTTGTATTAGTACACTGGCCGCAAAGTCAGTAGTACCCAAGGAAGGTTCCCTGACTTTGGCCTAAGAGAGTTCTTCACATTTTTTTGGTCTCATCTGACACTTAGAGACTGTAGTTACCAGCTATGCTGCAGATACCCATCCAGAAACAAATTTTCCCTGTAGTCATCTAACGTGGAGATAATAACTTGGCTGGCTCCCAAGTGATGTCTTTCCATGAAGGTCTCAGAGCTTTATTATGAGTCTTCTCAGTAAAGTAAGGTTTGCTGAATTCAAATGTTCAGAGCTCAGCTCTGCTTATTGACAGCCTACTCCTCTTTCAAGGCCCATCCCAAATGCTACCTCTTCTATGAAGTCTTACTTAATTTTTCCCTCATATGATCTCATAGCATTTTGCATTCTTTTTATATACTCCAAATTCTAGTCATTATCCTAGAATAAAATTAAAATCAAATTTTTATTTATGATATTTCTCTTTCTACATGTTTTATCAATCTTACTAGATAACAATTTTTATAGGATAGACACCGAGGATTGTTGGAATTTGTAAGTATGTTGAATATATTAAATGCTGAATCAGTGTTTGCTGAATGAATGAATGAATTTTTGAAATGAATGAATGCTCTCGGAAAAGTATGGTAGTAGGGTGTGGTGGCATACTGTAGTTTGGAGTCAGACAACCTGGGTTAGAATCTTGGTTGTAATATTTACTGTTTGTGTGACTGTCAACAAATTACTTTACCTCTCTTGTCCTAAGTTTCCTTATTTGTAGAATGGGGATGATCATAGTACTTCTACTCCGTACCTCACAGGAATGTTGAGCTACCTTATTTACAGCCCGTGATCCTGCTTGTCAGAATGTGCTAAAAAATAAGTACTTTCTTCATTTCCTCATCTGGGTCAGCAAAAGTGAAAATACACCAGCAGACCCTGCTAAAAAACTCACCCCAGGAAAACATATCCTGGATAGCACCTACTACAGAGCAATTTAAGATGCAACCAGAACTTGAAAAGCTAATCCTGAATGAACAATGGGCCAGATGGTAACGTTGGTGGGAAGCAATAAACATGATAAATAGCTTCCTCCTGCAGCTCCTGATCAATTTCAATATTTAATAATTCCACTCTGTTCCCCTTCCCCCTCATCCTGGCCTTTCCCCATTGCAGAATCCAGCTACCATCTGTATTCAGCTCTGAAGCCAAACGCTTCTTTGGCTTTTATGAAGGCATCAGCAGAAATTTCAGTGTGTGATTGTGACACAAGAGCTCTAAGTCCTCAAATGATAATTAATCAGGATACTTACCCTGAAGGAGCTGGATCTCAAGTCTCTCTCCCTACTGCCAATGCAAAGACTGTAAGCTAGCTGCCAACTGCAGCCTTGTGATAGAGGCTCTCACCTTGTCGAGCCAATGAATTGCATTATTCAGTGAATCTGGCTGTTGTTTCAAAAGCAAAAATAAGAGCAGGGGGATGAATTGGGTAATCGCTGTTACTCTAGGGCCAATGAGCAGGTTTAGCAACTGAATTTTCAACTGCGCTCATTGTTAAAAAACCAAAGCTACCAGCTCTCCTCCCACTGAGCGGAGTAATGTTAGTAGTGATAGCTGTCAGGGGACAACAACAATGAAGGGCAGGCATTAATAGGAGACAAACACTACGATTTCCTAGGAAGAAAGAATTTTGTGGGATGGGCATGTTAATAGCCACAATGAGATGTGAAGGTAGTTGCTGTTTCCCACCAAGAGATATCCCACTTGGTGGAAGAGATGAGGGAGAACGTTTCTGAAACTCTGTTCTCTGTTGGCTATGGTCATGATGACCGTTCCACTGTTTTCACTCTGAAATATTGTGGTTGATGTTCATCTTTTCTGCTCAGAAGTAAAGATTAGACCTGTAAAGGAAATTTTCAATAAGGCATTTCCTGGCTTTTATGCAGCTCATGTGGAGATATTTAGACATGGTCTGAGATTGTTAAAAACAGACTTCTTTATGGTAGGCCTTGGTATTAAGACTAGTACTAAAAAACTCCTAAGTGCCTCTCTGAATTTATAGCACAAAAGGGGTCACTAACTCTTGCCTATTTATAGGGTCTGTTCTGCTAATGGAAATGTAAGGGATGCAAAGAACCCAGCAGGGTCTTTACTTCTTGAGGGTCACTTTTTGCGTCATGAAAGTTAATCTTCATCCTGTCTGCTATCCCTTAGAAACAGAAATAACAGAATTCCCCTTAGAAACTATTTTCTCCCTTTATCTTTGGTTGAGGTTTTCCCTGCAAAAGCAAGCATCCCTAGAAAGGAGAGAGCTCCCTTATTTGGTATTCCAGTTAATGAAAGAGAATTTTAAAAAATGGATTACCTGATTCCTTCTGTTCAAGGCCCATGGAGTTCCACCTTCTTGTTATGTCAATATACAGAATATCTACAGATGCCATTGAGAAGGTGCTGCTACTGAGTTTGCAGTTCCTGTGCAGATATTTAGGAGATATGTTATTATAGGGGTGATCCAAGCAAGAACAGTGATAAGCTGAAAGCAGCCATATCAACATTATCATTAATGCCATCATTATCAATACTATCATTATTACAAGCAATAGCACCATCACCACTATTATCCTCATAAACACCATCTTCACCACCAACACCATTACCACCATCAACATCATTATAATTATCATTACAATACATCTCCTTCATCATCAACATAATACTCACATCATGATCATCATTACCATCATCACCACCATCATCACCTTCCCCCAAAATTCTCTTCTAATGACATATCATGGTGTGAAGGTGTTCTTGAAGGTCATTCCAGTATAACACAAGATCCAATATATTCTAGAAAGCTGGACAGGACTTGAATACAGTCCCCAGGACCAGCCTAAGACTCTGCCATATTAGCTGTATGACCTTGGGGAACTTATTTTTCCTCTCTGAGCTTCAGTTTACTCTCTGTAAAAGGGAGGATTGGATTAGGTGATCTATAAGAGCCCTGTGGTTTCTGTGAGATTTCTGTAGATTTTTTTAATACCATGTACCCTTTTATGCATGCAACTTTTATACTCCTGGTGATGGGGTGATGGATTGGTCAATTCATTCATTCATAAAAATATTTATTTAGTTCCTTTTCTGTGTAGAAGACTGTTGGGTGTTGGAATTTACAGTTAAGGAGGAGAAGAGAGAATACAGATGACTAATATACAATATTGCATGACAAATACATCATATAAGTATAAAGCAAGTGTTATGTATAGTACCTACCTAACAGGATTATTGTGATGGACAAACCTCTGTGTGTGTGTGTGTGTATGTGTACACACACACATATATGTGTATGTATACATATGTGCACATACACAAGTAATATATATATATATGCATATGTGTATATGCACGTTTTGCAAAACTCAAGGCATTATGTCAATGTAAGCTGTTATTACTAACTTCTGGAGGGAGGAGGGGAATCAGACAGAGAAGACTTCCTGGAGGTAGAGATTAAATATTATAATTATGGAAGCATATACTGCCAACTGCTTAAACTTTAACATTGAAGCCAGAGAGTTCTCTATGCCTAGAGATAAAGGCTAAATAAGGATAAAACTCTACTCTTCTCTGTTCACTATCCCTTTCACTAATAGATGTGTTTTGTGAAGATGTTGATTGATTTAACCAATTTGTCTGTTTGTCCCCATACATCTGTCCACATCACTTAAGACTATCAGGTCTTCGAGGAAAAACATTTCTTTTCAACAGATGTGCCCATGTCTTCACTGTTCATCTGCCTTGGTTTCTATACTGATTAGTCTCGGGGAGGCAGAAGAAAAGACAAATCCCAAAGCTCGAGGCATAGAACACTCCCTGGGTCTGATGTTAAAGTTGAGGCAGCTGACGGTATATGCTTAGATGATCAAATGATAACAGTGTATCATTTGCATAGACTGAAGACATTATTGCTGTCCAAAAGCAATTTCAGGTTTAAAATGCTCCACAAATGAGTCCCAGGAGCCAATTTTACATACGGGAGTGTTCAAGGCTTTTGAGTTTCTCCAATCCTTCAATCTGTCATCTAAGGATTTTTATATAAGCAAGAAAATCCACTATATTCCCCTAAACACTCAGCAGTGAGCTGAGCAGATAGCCCCTTATTCTCCTCTTGGGTTCATGAAGGAGTTTTTGGAGATGATTGTTGTTATGGGATTGGCATTATAAAAGCTATTTGAAAAGGACCTGAATAGGCAGACGTCCTAAGGACTCAAAAGAGCACACAGGGGTTTAGTGACCTCTCTCTTAAGCTCTAGATCTGGCAGATATCACATTTTGGGGTCTTAGTTTTCTCATCTGTAAAATGAGAAGATAGAATTAAATAGAATCCAAGGTGATATTCTTGCTCCTAGTTCCTTTGTCTTAGTGGTGCCTCAAATTTAACATTCTAAAACCAAATGCCTTATCTCCTCTTCTAAATCTGTATTTAACAGCCTGGTCCCTAATAAGCCCTTAATAAATGTTTTGATTTGATCTCACTGCCTTATTTCTGTTAATGATACTACCATTCTCCCAGCCAACCAGGCTATATCCCTCAGACTCATCTTTAGTTCTCCTCTTTCTCTACTCATCATGTTTAATTAATTAGTGAGTTCTGTTAATTCACCCTTTGTACCCATTCACTGTTTTTTCCCCATTCAGTTACCCCACCTCCGTTCTAGGGCTGAGAAACCTGTGGCCACATGTGGTCGTCTGAGTCCTTCAGTGTAGCCTTCTGACTGAATCCCAACTTCACAGAACAAATCCTTTTATTATTATTATTAGCCTTAGACCCTATCAGGGCTCACTTGGACTATTAAAATATTCTCCTAACTGGTTTTAGAACCTCGAGTCCCCCGCCCCTTTCCTTCACAGCACTGCTATTCCTGACTCCGTGTCTCTTCATTGGTTGTCCTCCAGTGTTAGCATGCTCACCCTCTTCGTCTCTGCCTCTTTGACTTCCTTCCAGATTTGGCTCCTGTCTCACCTTCTGTAAGAGACCTTTCCTGGTCTCCCACCTTCCCTCCCCTTAATGCCCACTCTATTGTGCTGCCTTCCTTCTAAGATTGCCTCCCATTTACCCAATAGATATCTAGTATGTGCATAGTTGTTTGCATGTTGTTTCTCCCACTAGAATGTAAGCTTTTGGAGGGTAGGCATTATTTTTGCCTTTCTTTATATCACACTTAGCACAGAGCCTCAAACATAGTAAACACTTAACAAATGTTTGTTGACTGACTAACTTCCTAAAGCACAGGTGTGATCTGCACAGAAACTCTTCTGCTCAAAAACCTTTAGTGGCTTCCTACTGCCTACTGAATAAAGTCCAAAAAACTCAGCTTGACATGCAACCTTTTCAGATCTATCTCATACTATGGGGTCCTTCTTCATGCACACAAATATATTGTAGACAAACTGAATAACTGTACCCGAGTACTAGAGTACTTATCTATAGTAACTGAGACCTGAATAACTGTGCATTTGCTCAAGTTATTCCCTATACCTGGAATGTCTTGCCCTGTCACACCCATTCATTTCTCTCAGTTAAAATCATACCCATTCTTCAAGGGCAAGCTATAATGCTACTTCCCCAAGAGAACCCACTTTGATTCTCCTCGTCAGAAATGACCTTTCCCCTCCTGTATATCTCATGCCACTTTGTTTATACTTTGCTTGGTTTTAGGATTAAATAATGATTCCTATATTATTATATCCACAGCAGCCTTGGGGAGCCTACCCCAATGTGGCTGATTTCATTAGGTTTTAGTATTCTACGGTTTTGGTATACTGCTATCACAAAACATTAAAAAGAACCAGAGGATGGTTTTTAGTACATGGAAGAGATTCTATATGGAGGATCCAGTGAAAGACGTGGACATGAATTGCACTAGATAAGATGTGAAGGGTTTAGATTTACAGTGGTGGAGGAGTACCAAAGACCGGGAGCTCACTGATCCAGAGAAACACTGAATTATTGTTATTTTAGGGCAACTGTGTATGGGTGTACTGAAATTACATAGTTTAATCTGTTCTCTCTCGAGCAATGTTTGCTAGGACATCAGTTCATACAACACTGACTACTTCCCAGGGAGAGCCTTCAAAACATGTCAACATCCTCTTACCAGGTCTCACACAAAATATGGCAGGATTCATTGACAGTTCAGACTTTGAGACCTTGTTGCTTAAATGGCTGACTCCATATTTTTCTTGTTCTAGTACTTCCCAAAGGCATCACAGTAATTTTGATTGTAAATTTTCAACATCATTAGTGATGATTCTATATTTTATTTAATTATCATATCAGTGTTCCCTGTACTGACTGCCAGCCAGCTGATGTGAGTTCTGCCTACCCTGCTCTTTGAGTTAATGGAGTATAAAAAGGAAAGTCTAACTGACCACTGGTATAAAGTCACTTTTTCTGACAGGTAGAAAATAGAAGTGTCAAACCCACAGCAGGAACAATAATTTACCAAAGAGAATTCTCCACTTATCCTGTATCCATTATAACAAATCCCTTCCATTGACACCAAAGAAGTATAGGAGATGCTAACATTTGTTATGGAGGCAACAATTGTGAGTAAAAAGATGTGGAAGTGGGAGTCAGGAGATCTGAGTCATAATCCCAGCTGTGCTGCCCTATCTGTCTGATCTTGGACAATTCACATTTTTCTCATTTACAAAAGAAGGTGTTGGGCTAAATTAGGGCTTCTTAACTTGGGGTCCATGAACTATTTTTTATAGTTTGATAATTGTTTTCAATATAATTAGTTTTCTTTGTGATCCTATATGTTTTATTTTACACATTTAAAAACATTATTCTGAGAAGGCTTCATCAGACTTTCAAAGAGGGGTCCATGAAATTAAGAACTCCAGGACTAGATGATCTCTAAGATCTCTTACAGATGTTAAATGTGAAGTCACACAAATAGCTGGCAATCATATAGTGCCTTAAGGTTTATAAAGCACATTACTTATTTTGTAACTTTTAGCCTTCATAATAATTCTGGGAGGTAGGTAGCGCAGATACTATTCCTCCCATGTTATAGATGTCAGAGGCTCCAAGAGGTGATACAACTTGCCCAAGGTTATGTGAACCTATGTCAGAAGATCACAGGGCTAAGTGCTAGAGGGGATCTTGGAGGTCATCTAGTTTACGCCTTTATTTTGTAGATATGGAAATTAAGACCAAAGAGGCCGAGTGCTTTGCCTAAGGTTTATTGACTCCAAATTTCTTTTTACTACATTACAGCCCCCACTAAGTTAGTCATAAAAGGTTCTGTGGAAGAGGTGGGACTTGGATTTCCTTAAAAGATGGGCAGGAGGACAAGGGGATGACTCCTAGACTAGGCTCACAGTAAAGCAAAGGTGTGGATGTAGGAAGGTGCAAGCTTTATTTGGGAGAAACTGAGAAAAATTGGTTTGGCGAAAACAGAAAGTTCATA